TTCTCTGGTACCGGGAACCGAACTCATGACCTTGCGCTTGCCAGGCAGGTGCTTTTGCTGCTGAGCTAAATCCCCAGCCACATTCTGTGAATTAATATTGTACTATTTTATGTATAATGGAAGAACATTACAACAGTAGATTTTTTTTCACTTTTTGGTCCTTTGGGCGATTATTGCCATAGATTTTACTTGTGCATATATTTATTAACCCTGTAGCACAGATGTTCCTTGACTTATGAAGGGGTCACATCCCATCAGCTTGTCCTAAGTTGAAAATACTGGTAAGTCCAAAGGGCACTTAATACCCTTGCCCCATATGGAACAACACAGCTTAACCTGGCCTGCCTCAAATGCACTTGGAATATTTAGCTCAGCTTACTGTTGGGCAAAATCATCTGATGCTAAGCATGTTTTTGTAGACTGTTGAATAGCACGCATAACTTATTGAATATTGTACTAAAAGTGAATCGGTTTCCACTAACTGTATCTTAATTTTGTAGCATCACAAAGTGAACAAATTCTCAGCTGAACCATTGCAAGAATGTGAACTTTAAAGAAATTTAAAAAGAAGAACTTCCTTTATATTTACTTACTTATATATTCTGGCCAGTGTGTTTCATTCCTTCTGTAGGTCTGGGTTTCCACCTGGTGCTGTTTTCTTTCTACCTGAAGCACTACTAGTAATGCCGTGATGGCTGCGACCATCTTCAGATTTTATTTACTTGAAAATGTCTGAATCTTCACTTCCTTCCCCTCACAGGCTAAATTTTATCTTTAAAGGTGTCTCATTGTCCATTGCCTTGAGTTGTCCGATGTGAAATCAGACAGGGTATTCCTTGTTCTCCAGTGTTAAGTACGTCTTTCATCTGTGTCCACTTTAGCCACTTGTGTCTTTCTTTGTATTCATTTTCTTTGCTTTATTGAGCTTTTTGGATGTACCAGTTTATAGTTTCCATCTATTATGGAAAAAATTGACCACTGCTTATTCAAATATTATTGTTTGCCTCATCTTTTTGGGAATCCAAAAGATGGGAATCCATCTTTATATGTATATATATATATATATATATATATATTTTTTTTTTTTTTGTGTGTGTGTGTGCTGGGGATGGAGCCGAGCCTTGGATATGCTAGGGAAGAGCTCTAACACTGAGCTACACCCCCACCTCCAGTTACATATGTTTTAGATTGCATTTTCTGTCCTTTTTCTTCACTTTGGTACTACGTAGCTCCGGCGTCTCCTAGGTATGTATGAGCTGCGATTGCTGCTTGGTTTCAAATTCACAGTGCTTGTTCTTCCCTTGGGGAAGTGCTTTGTGACTGGTCTTGTAGAGTGTCACCTTGCAACACACAGTTTAGCATTCAGCTAAAGATTGGAGAGATCCGTTATGCAGCCCTTTGGAGCACCTTTGTGCCCAGTAGTTCCGCAAACTCTTACCATGCTGGCCTCCTGCACCCCTCTGCCTGTATCCTAAACTGAGAGAAATCACAGCCTTTGGCCTGGGATTCTTCTCAGTTGTGGAGGCAGAAGGCTGGGCTCATTGTAGGGCTCACCTCATGGCTACTGTCCCACAGGGGATCACAAGCATGTGCTGCCCACTGTGCGGTGTCTTCAAACAGGGAGTTCATGTCATTTGTCCAGTTTCCCACCTGTTCCTGATAGGAACACAGTTCCCCATCAGTGATTCTGCAGCCACAGGCAGTAGCCTCTGTGAATTTGTATTGCTGTTGTATCTTTCATATTTTCTAACTTTGCTCATGCATATATGGAAGCCAAATTAAGTTAGAAGTGTTACTCTTGTGGCTAGCGACCTTGGCAAACCACCATTGTGAAGCACTTAATGACGGGAATATGTTCGACAGAAATGTGTCACCGTGTGACTTGGCATTATGTGAACATCACTCTGTGTAATTATGCAAACCTGCATGGAATGAGCTACTCCACACTTGAGGTATACGGTTGAAGGCTATGCCTCTGTCTCTGTGTGGAACCCCAAGGCTGATGCTGTACTAGGGACTGAGCCCAGGGCCTTCATACTGAACTACCTCCCCATACTCTTTTTAAGAAAAAATTTTTTTGAGACAGAGTCTCCCTAAGTCACTAAGTTGCCCAGGCTGGTCTCAAACTTGCCATCCTCCTGCCTCAGCCTCCCAGAGTGCTGGGGTTATAGGTGTGCAGCACCACACCTGGCTTTTCTTTTCCTTAACACATACATTTGAATGTCATTGACTTCTACATTGGGGCTTTGGCCTTGAAGTGATCTAACTACATAGTTTGAGGCAGAGAACTATGATGATTTTAGGGCCACTGTCTCCTATTCTCAGGCTATTTCTGCTGTCACCAGGGAATGTCAGTTCTTGTCTGTGGTGGCATGTACATGCTAAGTGTGAAGCTGTCTTCTTGCAGCTTTATTTCCCTTTATGTTCTTGAAGCCAGTAAAAGTTAAATGAACTTAAAGGTATGGAATTAAACTCATGAATATTTGATTAGCGAATTCAGTTGTCTGAGCTCACAGAATGTTCTTATAACTTCTGTGGATACACTCATTTGTAATATCAAAAATATTTGTGGGGCAATAGCACAATAAAGCAAGAGTTCCATACCTGTATAACATGAAGGGGTTATTGGTACTTAATGATATTCTGTATTGTAGAAGAAGTAGACTGCAAAGATTTTGGAAGTGGGGAAAGGGATCAGGTGGAGCAGGAAGGGAGGGAAGGGGGAAGGGGCCTGATATGATGAAGCTATGTTATGTATGTGTACCAGTCCCCCAAAGTGAGGGCAGCTATTTATATGTTGCAAACATTAATAAAAAATGAGAAAAGTAGCCATGCCTTGAGGAAAAAGAGTTATATCATTGAAATTTTTGATTAATCTTACTGCTTTCCCGTGATTTACCAAAAAATGACTTCTTAATAAAATCTTGCTCTACTTTAATTTCAGAGTTTACCCTATTTCACTGGATAATGGAGAGAGATGAAGAGGAAAGAAGGTATGAGTTCCTAACTGCTGACAGTTATGTGCTAGCCTGTGCCCATTCTGTCCCTGTTTTACATCTAGTGATGCTAAGGGAGTGGTTGTCCAGTACCATTCAGGGATACATGCTATGTGCAAAGCCCATTTTTGAGACTGGGCTTGCCTACGGCTTAAATTCATCTGCCTTTGAAAGGGTAAACTAGTTTGCCAGATCAAACATCTAAAATAAATTCAAGGGCATCGATCAGATAGTTTTGTCAAAATTTTCAGTATGATATGTGGTTTTTGAAGGTAAAGACAAAGCCCCTCAAGTAACATTTTAAGGCTGATCTGTCTCTCTGAGAAGGAGCATTTGCTTTGAGAGAGCCTCTTGGGTAACTGCAGGTCACTGAGAAAGAATTTTCGTAATCAGAACCACTCTTGTTAAAGCAGGTGAGAGTCTATGGTGGCTCCACCTTTACATTCAAATTAATTTGAACTGGATTGATTGATGTAATTCTTGGACCACTGTTCTAGGCCATGTGCCGCGATTGCTCTGCAAGACACGGGGACAGATATGGTCCCTCCCATAAGGGACTCAGTTTAAGGGCAATCAAATTGGCTTTCATTTCTTGGTTTAATAGCACTAGTTTTTCAGTTTTATTTTGAGACAGAGTCTCATCAAGTTGCCTGGGGTGGTCTCAGACTTAAAATTCTCATGCCTCAGCCTACCAGACAGCTAAGATTATAGGTAAATCACAGGAAAGCAGTAAGATTAATCAAACCAGCTCAAACCAGAGCTGTTGGCGATAGGTGTTATTATGCCATGGAATCAAGGGCTGAGCTTTTGCTCAAATACTGATACAAGCATCTATTTTTCACTCTTCTTATTCCCTACCTTCTATTGCTATGCTGAATGAATTTATAGCCATACCTTTGCCATTAATGATCTTGATTGTTTTGTCAATTAGGGACCTGTCTGATAAATTTGCGCATCTAACGAAGAAAGATTATGACTCAGTGTTTGATCGAATTCGGACCTTGATGCAGCATCATGGCTACCCTAAAAAACATGACAGAGACAAGGCCCTAGTGGGCCAGACCTCCTCTGTGACCATAAACCAGACTTCTAAGACCACAAGCCAGATCTATTCTGATACCTCAAGCCAGAAATTTTCTGAGACTGAGACCCAGACCTGTTATGAGACCGAGAGCCAGACCTTTGTGACCGTGAGTCGGAGCGCTTCTCAGACATCGAACCACAACTTTGCAACCGTTTACCAGATCTCTTCAGACAGTTCAAACCAGAGCTTATCAGAGAACGAGAGCCAGACCTATCCTGAGATCGCGAGCCCGACCTTTGTGACCGTGAGCCGGAGCACTTCTGAGACAAACCACAACTTTGCAACCGTGCACGAGATCTCTTCAGACACTTCAAACCAGAGCCTGTCAGAGAACGAGAGCCACACCTATGCTGAGACCATGAACCAGACCTTTGTGAC